AAATTTCGTAAGTAGGGGCGTTCGTAAGTAGAGGTACCACTGTATTAAAATAAGGCTTTCTCCCTTATCTGGGCACCATCCAAGAACAACCCCAAGATATACAAAATCTATCTGCCACCAGTTGCCACTGGAGAAATGATAGATGACTGGCAAACAAAGGCAATAAAGGCAGGCTAGGATTAGCAATGGAGATAGCAACTTTCCTGCTGCCATTGTTTTCTGCCAACTCAGGAATGCCACTGACATAGAATAAAAAAAACTACCCACTGCCCCTACATCAGAAGTGGGCATCCTTGCAGCAGTTGGGAGCTATTCTTCTTTGTTAATTTTGGGGACAGTCCTGGAAGAATAATATGATGATGTCATTCATCTCCAGGAGGAAATGTGGCTTTGGGCAAGTTCAAGTCTTTTTCTTTGCTTTTGAAGGTATAATAAATATATGCCGTGAACACAACTTTTGTCTTTTTATCACCAAAGTCAGTGAACAATTTGGTATGAAATTTCTCTCTCTTTATTAAGTAGCATGACTTCAGGGGAGCTGGAGATCACATGAAGCATTTAGCATCTACAGGCAGCCTTGAGCCACAGGTTGCTCCCTCCTACCCCAGCTGTTAGATGGTTTGGAATAGTAGCCATGGGCATTACTGCATCAAATTGTCAAAGCAAGAGAGATAGATAGAGTTTATACAACTATATAATTGGACACCTACCTCAAACCATTGTCCATGGGACTGCATTTTCAGGATGACACAGGGATCTGGCTTGGAGAGGGCATCCCTGTCTGAGATGCCTTTGCAGGCCACTCTCAATTCTACCTTGGTCAGGCAGGGGCTGCTAAAGATTCCCAGAGTATTGGCTGCTGATTCATAGATGTTACTCATTTTCTTCATTATCTATGAAGGAAAAAAAGAGAATAAAAGTGGTAAAATCGTTTTAAAACAATATTACATTCTATGATTCCTATGAAGGTTGTTTCTATAATTAATTCTCTAAGCAGATGCAATTATCGATGTCCAAATTCCTCACAAAGTATGGTGACTTGGAATAAGAGAAGTTGAGTATATCACAGAGGTTTCTTCCAACAGGATCACATGTTGACATTTCAGATGTATCATACAGAGGATAAACTAGCCACTGATACCAGACTTCCCCAACTTGATATGCTTGAGCTACAGTTCTCATTGTCCTCGAGATTGGGCATGCTGGTTGGGAATTATGGGTATTGCTATCTGGAAGATGCTAGGTTGAGCAAGAACTGGTTTGTAGCATTTAGATCAGATTTTTAAAATATTGGTATATGTCAAGGGTCTGGCCAAATCTCAGATCTTTTGAGACACAAATAAGAAAGTTCATAGATTCATGAGTTACTGAACCAGCACAATCTTATGAAAACTGCATTTTTAAATTAATCTGTGTTGTCAACATCTGCTGTGAATATCTTAAAAATAGTTGTCTGAGCACTTCACCATGATTTGTAATGAGTTTAGCTGGTTTTACACTAATTACTGTTCCAGGTTCATATCCAAAAAGGTTTTGAGAGATGTTTCAAAGTGGCATTTCAAGTAACTTGTTTTCTGTTGAATGATGCATTGCAGATAAAGTACAGGAACAACTTATATTTAACAGTGAATGCAGCATTTCCCATAGGAGTTAAAAGTTTGGCTCTCTTTATCCTTGCATTTTGAACAAATTGAGAATAGTAGTCTTTTGCGAGACTTCTATGAATGGAAAACAAAACTGGATGTGGAATTAGAGAGCATAGCCTATTCCAGCTGTGGAAAAGAAATAATGGCCTCAGGGCTATGAGATGTCCAATTTATTGCCTGCACAAAATGTATCTCACTAGATCTTTTTTGAAAGCAGCAAACAAGCATTGCAAGGCAATTTCTGCCTGGAGGAGTCAAATGATTCTCCTTTTCTTCTCAAGGTGAAGCTTATTAGCTTATTAAGTAGGAGTGAGCAAGCTTCATCATGTAGGTTTTGTGTGTGGGTCCTGAACCTTTCAAAAATCACAGCCCCAAAGCAAGAGAGAGAGACAGAGAATGGAAACAAATGAAACCAATAATACACAAGCCCCAATCTCCCTCTCCTGGAAATCACAGCTCCTCCTTATGTGAAGGGGGGGAGGGTGTCACACCATCATTTGATCTACTTCTAAAGCTCTTGGCCAGCCTCCCAAATTTAAAAAAAAAAAATTCAGGCACTGAACACTAAAACTAAAAGGTTGCCCCATGTATGTAACAGAAATGGAGAATAAGGCCCCATAGTCCTTCCTATCTTCAGAACTTCTAAACTCCTCTCTCTCCTAACTCTTTGCCCTGAACTTCCTGCTTGTGTTGTTGTGGCCCTCCATCCTCTGTCCCCTCACAGCACACACACCTCTCCAGCAGACTGTGGTAAACAATTATTTCACCTCCTGTCTTGTAAGCAGCCTCTCCTATCGTGCATCCTTTCAGGAATCACAACAGTCCCTTCTCTGTTTTTGCTAGTGCTGTGGTGAAATCTGCTTTGCAATTTTTCAAATGTTTTCTTCCCCCCAAAATAAGCTTCTATACCTAATTCTTAGGGAACTTGAGAAAGTCTTAAGAATTTCTCTTGGTGATGTTTTGAGCTTACTTTTTTAAAAAATGAAGCTAGTCGAGGGTGATACTGCTGGTGTTATTTTCTGTTACACATCTTTCTATCACTCTGAGGTTTCCTTGGCTGTCTACATTTCCTTTAAAAAAAATGCCTAATGGGGGAAGTTCCCTTCAAATTTAATTGAAGAGCAACAAACACAGAGGCCAGTGCAGACCATTGGAGAAAGTTGTTTTTAACGAGATGGGTGGTGACAAATTTGATATATAAATAAATAAAATAAATAAAATAATATAATATAATATAATAAAAAACACAATACACTCGTCCCTATGTGATTGCAGAGCTGAATAAGTGAAAAATCGCACACCATCCATGAAAATGTTACCAAATTCTCTTCTCCCATAAAAGAATTTTTGAAAACACATCTCTTTCACTATTTCAAAATGAACAGTAGGAAAATAGCAGGGACAAATAGAACAGATAGGAGAAATATCCAAGTCACATACTTCTGAAATCTCCCCTAAACAGCATGAACTTTTACCTTCAAGAGACTTAACTCACCTATTTTGTTTTTTTCAATAATTGGGAGAAAATGCTCTGTCTCATTGCATCATGGCTCTTGGAAGATGCCACACCACAAAACTAAAAAACTAAATAAGAACATACCTCCCCACCTATAAACAGATTACCCAGTTCTGAGAGGATACCTTCAAATAGGAAAACCTTTCTAACAGAGGATGTCCTCAGCAAAATAAAATATACAGCTACACTACTGTAAGAACCTAAGAACAGCCCTGTTGGATCAGACCGCAATATCCTCTCTAGTCGAATATTCTTTGGACAACTAGATCCCCACGGGAACCTGTAAGTAAGTCATACTGTCCTTGAATCTTCAGGTTGATGAATAGCCGTAGAATACCTCAGGGATTACAGGGCTATTATAAGTATACAAATGCATGTGAAAATGTGGTGAAATAATCTTGGCCTCCAGCATAAGTTTATTACCTACACAACCAGAACTAGCAACTTTTTTTCCCCTCTTGCATTTATTGCAAATGTCTCTGTAACTCAGGGATACCAAGATGGCCATTTTTCTGATGGATCTATACTTTTTATAACTTATCATGAGAAAGTAAATGATAAATAAGCAGCTTGGGTCCTATAAACTACTTGGGTCCAAGTAGTAATTTGCCCATTAGGAACAAATATCACAAAGTACCTGATAGTTAAAGAAAACTGAGGAGAATATTATTGGAATTAGCTAGATGACTACCATTTAAAATAACCTAATTATTGGAAGGCTCGTTACCTTTTTAATTGAAACACAGCAATTGGGTGGATGGGTGAGAAGCATCATAATATCATCTGTCAGCTTTTGGGGTGTTTAAACTACCACACTATTGCAGCTTTCAAAGCAGGTTAGACAAAATGTTAATGTGTACAATAATAGAGCTAGTGATGATTAGGTTGGGGGTGGGAGGCAGGGAATGGATGACTCTCAGGTGGAAGGAAAAAAATCTCACCATGGGTAGAATGTTATTTTCTCATTCAGTAAATGAACATGTTGATTTTTCTTGACTGATATGATTTCATGGTCAACTTACTTCTATATGATTTTGATATCTCACTTTTCTCATTACCATACTGCAAGTGAAAGGAAAAAGAGTGAGGGTCTAAAAACAGTGTAACTATATTTGGGGAATAGGCATTACAATTTCTATAACTGAGAATTCTGAATGTACAGGGTTTAGATCATGTAAAAACTAGCCATGTTTAGCAATGGTTTCTTTTCTTTCCAATATGTGTTTTTGTCCTATCAGTTGAAAGGGCTAATTTGGCATCACACAAATGGCAATTTTCCATTTTAACAGAGAAGCCATATTCATATTCAGTTCCAATGTAAATGAACAATTATGTTCAAGAAAGTATTTAATATAGGATAATATAGGGTTATCCCCACCCCCAGATTCTCTTGGCACCTATGTTTTCTTTAAAACCCTTTATCCAATTCTTCTCTCATCTACAGTTCCTAAGAGTTGATGGTGCAGGAAAGCAATGGGGAAATGTCCTCTATAGGCCATGCAATAATGTATTTTTTCATTTATTGTCACATTAATTCTATTTCTCTTTCTTGCAGCAAAGAAAGTGTAGACCAGATCACCAAGGGACTCCCTCATAGTATCATTTCTCAGTAACCAATTACACATCTCAGGGCAGAAGACAGACTTAAAATACACATACCACCTCTAAGAGACATTCATCTATGTTCTTTTGTTTTTGTTGTTTCTTTCTTTCTTGGGAAAGAGGCAATATTGAAAGCAAGAAAACTACAATCCTGATATTCTAAATTTAGTTAATTATCTTTCAGGTTCAAAGACTGTGATCCATTAGCTTAACTTCCATACCATTGTCAAGAAAACAACATGGATAATTTGGTATGTTTTTAAATCTCCCACAACATCTCCATGCTGTCTATAAAAGGAAAATGATAACCAAGAAGGAATGGATAAACAGAAGTTCATTTAAAGAGGCACCTATACAGTCTTTCCACAGATTTAACTCAATTGGGCAGCTAGAATGGACAGACAGATGTAACTCAAATATACCAGGTTTTTCTATTGAAACTGAAACATTAAGTTTCAAGAAGTTCTATTTTCCAGAATGTGGCCTGCAAAACTTAATTTAATTTGCACTCCTGTATACCTCTATCTGAGAGAAAGTTCCACTGAACCCAGTTGGGATTATTTTTGAATAGACATACATTGGCTTGCACTGTAAAACTATGCACCCTACTGTTATGTGAGAGTGAGTTGTACTCAGTAAGATCAATTTCTGGATATGCGTGCACTATAAAATATATGTTTCAGCATTACAATTCCCCAACATCCTAGTAATTAATGCTATAATGAAACAAAAGGCTATTTAATGCAATCCCTAGTTAATTTGTCCAATTCGTCACACAAAGTAGGAACTATATAGGTAAAAACTGATTCTTCATGCCTTATACTAATGAATCAATTGGAGGAAGTTAGTTCAGAACAAGAGAGGAACAGTAGGATGTCAATCTCATGCTATTGCTTTCATAATGTTCTAAAATTAGAACATAATAAAACATTGTCTCAATCTAAGCATTATTTTGTTATAACATTTTTTACTCCAACTAATTATTTGTCTTCCTTCCAGCTTGCCCACTCCTCACCTACCCATCTGACATGCCATTCCTCCAGACTCCTGCATGGACCAATCATGGATTTTTTAAAAAAAATTACTTATGTTTTTTTTTAGAATAAATACTAAAATATTAATATTATAT